GAAATGAGCCTATGTTATAAAAGAGATATTTTACTGTAACTTTTTCATTGTTTCTTTAATCATAAATACATAAACGGAACGCAGTGTCAACTTGTCTCTTGTGCCAACGAGCCCCGGTCTCCCCTACACTTCACGCAGCTGCATTCAGTGAGCGTGTATCCTCATTTATTTATATTATTTCTGGCATGTTATATTTGTATCACTTCAATTTACTTTGAACGACGAAAAGCTCTCATATATGTACAATAATGGAGCACCTAACGGAGCAAAATTTAAGATAATTTTGAAGAGAAAAATTTTAGATTTGCCATCTATCACAGATCGAAAATATCAAACGACCTGTATGGATAGAAAAAATATTTTATTTGAAGTTTAAGACGCTCCAAGAAGTAACTCTCTTAGTTCCAGAACATACGATTGCAAATAGGCACGTATTAAAGAATTCAATTGCCTGTTATATAGTGTGATTTACAAAAGAGACAGACATTTGCGCGTTTTTTAAGTTTTATATGTAAAAAAAGGGAAATGGAAACATCTCGTCGTTGATGCAGAGGACAACGTTCAACTTACCGAAGTACGAATCGATCTTGTTTTTCTTGAGATAAGAAATGGTTCGCAGGGCATATTTAATTCTCTTCTCTAGATTGTAGCTCATGGTGTATAAAGGCGTCAGATTTGATGGATAGAATGTATTCCTGGACCGCTTATTTCTCGTGTCGTAATCCAGCCAGGTACCCTCATTCTCGTTCCACAATACGTTGTCGATGGCAGTTTGATAGTCTGAGGCAATCTTGTTGTAATGCTGTAATTTCTAGAACGAGACAAGATAGAAATGATAACAATTGTGTATGAACACACACACCGGTGTAACGCAATCAATAACGAGCGATTGAAGGCAAAATGGTAACGGTATTATGCCATTTATCCGACAGAATCGACAGAATCAAAGTAATTTTCGAAGTGGGCAATCGGTTTAGAATAACACTTCCGACCACTCTGTTGTACTTCGGTCTTTCTTCTCGCATTATCAATGCATGTAATTGATATAATACCTAAATGAGGGAATAATATATCATATCCCGAAGTACCTAATAATATTATCATATTGCCCTTTGGCAATACGTGCGGTAATACACTGTTAAATCCTAATCTATATAGTGTTAAATTTAATGATATTTGAGTCGCCACTGCTTCTATTTAATAATATAGTTATTTTTAACTAAAACAACGGAATTGAATAAAACAGTTCAAATTAAATTCAAATTTGGGTTAAATTCTACTTGTTTTACTTAAAAATAACTGTATTGTTCTAATTAAAAATTACTATACAGGGTGTCTCCGATCACCCGCAATTGGAACACCCTGCCAGATTAAGCGTTTTCTCCCGAATCTATCGAGCCTAATAATTTGTTGATCCGCAGTGTAATTAATTAATAAATAATTTTTTAAAATTAATTGTATAATAAACAACAATAATTTCTTATAACATTAGTAATAATATGTAGTAATACTTTGAAACACAGCAAATGACACAGATAAAAAATTTTTTACGATCTCAGACTTAGTGTCACACTGTCAGATTAAGCATTTTATCCCGAATCTATCGAACAATTTGATTAATTTTTTAAAATTCGAAATTTTATCTTAAAAATCTATAAAAATTTCCAGGCATGTCTTTTGACGTCTGAAACATCGTTGAACTTTTTCATAATTTTTCGTGCATTAGAAGAGCAGAAAAACATTATAATTAAAAATATTATTTTAGCCTGCCATTATCGTAATAGTAAGGGTTAAAATTTGGTGAAAGTTGTTCTTTCATAGAGGCCTAACAATCGAACTATGGTAAGTCTAATTTAATATGGGGGCACATTTCAAACACGGAAAGCACGATTTTGTTGAAAGGTCTAAACGTTTTGCTAAATACAGATCTAAAAATAATTTTTTATTGAATCATCAAAATAATTTGTTGGAATATTAAAACTGATAAGCATTGCTATAAAACGCTTTAATATTCTAGCAATCATTTTGATTTTTGTACAAAATTATTTTGATTATTGAACAAAAATTGTCAGATATGGATTCAGCAAACTTGTTCTTTCCGTGTATGCATATCAGGCTACACCCTTTGCTAATATAGATTTAATAGTTTATAAATGTAACATTATTCGGGGATACGCTCAAAACTCCGTGTCGTTCATCCACGCTTAAGGAGCAATCCGTGCGGAAAGGCGGTTTAACAAAAGGCGGTTTAATTTCACCTTCGTATTTCCCAGAACAAAATGGAAATAGGCGAGCATCTTGGCGTTCCGCTGTAACATCGCGTTCAGATCGACGGGTATGATGTCGCTCGTAGAGGCGTTGACGAGGCTGAGTTTGGCGCCTTTGTTAGTCCCTATGGACCATCTGTAGGAGAAGTCCCAACCGCTCTCCGCTGCGGCTTTCAAGTTGTTGTAAAGCGCCCCGCGCTTCTGCTCCGGCACTTGTTGCGCCAGCTGATAATCCTCCCTGTGAGAACAGGCAACACGTTTGCTCTTATTGCTTGTCCTTCGTAATTAACACGATGATGGAAGATCTACTCTTCGCAATAATCGGCACAGATATCGAAACGGATGTTGCGCGAGATGAAATCAATGGATCGACGACAGGCGATCAATACAGGCCGCCTCTCGATTAGGAATTGAGGGACGCAAATGATACGTAATTAAATGATAATTCGTTAATGAAAGAAATAATTAATCGTTTCGTTCTATCATGAACTTTTCCAGGTCACGCGAATTCTCTTTGGTGCTGACGACAAAATTAAGGATTGCTTTAAAAATGTTTATAAGGCGGGACTATTTCGGAAAATGATTTATTCGCGTAAAAATTGATCGAAACAATCGAGACCTATCGCCAAAAGTATTGAAAATGATCAGCACGACACATTTTCGTAGAGTGCCGCGCTGACGGCAAAATTAAAGATGGCTTAAAAGATATTTATATGGCAGGTCAACTATAGAAAATAATTTATTTCCGTAGAAATTGAGATTGAAACAATCGAGAACTATCGTCAAAAATATCGAAAATTATCAGTACGACACATTTTAGTTTGGATGTATAAATAATTTAATTGCAATTTTATTTTAAATATGATGATGTCGATTCAAATTAGGCTTGTTGTTTCCAGCTTCTTGCATAGTTCATCTCTCCTTTTTTTCTCTCAACGTTAGAGAAAAATAAAGGTACATAAAGTTGAGATAAAAAGAACAGGTCAATTAATTCGCATATTTTACCTTAAACGTATTTGCAATACGAATAAATTCCACATTAACAGCTAGTTTCATATTATTGAAAGTTTTTCTAATATTTTTTAACGATTATATTCACAGATTTCTATATATATCCTAGATCGTTAGTTTCGAGAAATGAAATAAAGCGAAATAACTCAGGAGAGGGGGTAGCAGTTACCTTTACCCCTTTAATAGATTACATTCAAAAACATCAAAATTTTAACCAATATTATTAAATGTACACTAACACTACTTCATAAAGCACTGTGTACGTGATTACCGGATAAATATGGAGTCTGGTTTCAATACAACTAATAACAAATTATAGCATGTTAGCAATCCAAATATTCTATAGAAATCTGTGATTATATCGTTCACCCGGGAAACTTCTATCGATTGTAACTTCCTACATAAAACTTACTTGTAACTCTCCGGTCGAGGTCCGCGGCTGTTTACTACGTAATGCGCCATCCTGTACGTCCTACCGTTCTTCTTTACATTCACCGTCTTTTTATTTTGCCAATACTCAAACTCCTTTTCGAGGAGTGCTATGTTTTTCTTTAGAAATTTCTCATCGTGCGTGTAGTCATAATACTTTGCGACCTAAAAGACATTTGATGTCGTTAAGGCAAAACGGAGATTTTGAGTTCTACAAGAGATAGTTCGAAGCGAGAAAGATGGAATTTAGAGGAAATTTGTCAGGATCTCTATTAAAGGTGTGCGAATCAAGCGTTTGCATAATCGAATCGAATCGAATCTGAATCAAATTTTCCTAGATTTATATTAAATGTTAATTTAAATGTAATAAATATCAAAATTTAAGAATTACATTATTTTACGCAATGATTTAAACAAACTGAAGACCTGTTTTCGATTTACATCTTATTACAAAGGATCATGATCTTATATGATAATTTGAATTAGAAAATATGTAATTAATAATATGTGTATACACAAATAGTTCGAATGCTTTCAAATTTTTTCTATATTAATCTACATGGATACGTTTCATACATCAAAAATACTTATTTATTAGATAAGAATAATTGATCACGCGAGAGATATAAATGAAGCAAATAAAATAGGCGAGATCGGAAGAGCACACGT